CCAACTCGGTGCTGACAGATTGGAGCCTGGAGCCTGCTTCAAATTCTGTAGTCTCCCTATCTCTCTCTCTGCCTCTCCCTCACTTATGTGCATGCTCTCTCACTCTCGCTCTCTCTCTCTTAAAAATCAACATTAGAAAAAATCTTTTAGTAAAAACTTTTTTTCAAAAATAAAATAAAATCTATATAAAACTACAAACAACCCACTTAAAAGATGGGCAAAGGATATTCCTAAAAGAAAAACACCTGAATTAGCAAAATATTCTTCACTACGCTAATAATCATGAAAATACAAATTAAAAACATAATGAGATTCTCTTTCACACCCATTAGCTTGACAAAAATTTAAGTCTGACAACACAGAGTATTGTTAAGGCTACAGAACAATGGGAACTCTCATTCATTTCTGGTGAAAGGGAATTGATACAATCTAGCAATATCTAATAAAATGGAAGATGCATATACCTTAAGAGCCAGCAATTTTATTCCTAGGAATATACCCTAGAGGGGTAGCTTGCTTTCAAACTTTTTTTTTTTTTGCTTTCAAACTTTTTTTTTATCAAAACACACATATTTTGCATTGTGACCCAGTACCCACATAGTTACTTATTTAACTGAAAGCAAAATCCACAAAACAGTGCTTATTTTTATTATGTGTGACACATTCTGATAGTTTCCATTCTATTCTCATTCATTTTTTAGATGTTGGAGTGACTCACTCAACTGATTTTATAACCACTAATGGATGAACACACCCAATACAAAAAAAGGAAGCCCCAGAAAATATTCTCATATATATCTTCTTGCACAAAGGTGGGAGAATGTTCATTATGGCATGCATTCTTCATCAAAAGAAACTTAAAACAACATGTAAGACAATCAGGAGAATGAATAAAAAATTGGGAGGCATATTTATACAATGGAATATGATACAGCAATGCAGTCTGAAGAACTTGAACCATAGGTATTAACAGGTAAATCTCATGAACTTCCTACTAAACAAAACAAGCAAGCTGCAGGGGAAAAAAAGAAAAAAAACTATGCGCACACACACACACACACACACACAGGATGATACCATTTGTATGAACCTTTTAAATATACAAAATAATACTATATATGGTTTAGAGATATATTTTCATATAATGAATGTACAAAGATATGCATATGAAGAAAGGAAAAAGATCACAAAAGAATACAGAAAAGAAAGTGAAATGGAAAAGCCCAGTGAACAGCCAGATACTAAATGGTTAAAAGTCACCCATCCTCAAAATTAAACTAATGCCTCCTGCGCAGCACCTTCCTTCCAGGCACAAGGCTAATAATAAAGGCTCAGCCTGCCAGCTAGAGGGACTAAGGCAGCAAACGGAGATCAGTCTTCAAAGCTTACAGCACTCATCTTTTAAAACCGTTCTATTTAGTAACCAAGTACACTGAGCATCTATTTTTAATTAAGTAATGAAATTCAGAACATGAACAAAAAATGCAACAGGTAGTTGTGGGCGGATGAGATGTCATAGCAGATGCCCCAAACACAGCCATGTGCCAGTAAGGTTGAGTCACTGTGATATGCTGAAAAAAGATAATAAGGCTTGGCTGCCACAGGTTGCAGTGAGCCCTCTGCTTTCCTCTCTCTTACATTTGCCAGGCATCATTCCAGAACGCTGAACATTTAGATATCTTCAAGATTAGTAAATCACTAAAAATGACAAAATATGGCATCTTACAAATAGCACATGCTTGTGATCAAAGTAACAGAACAAAGAGCTAATAAACATCCAGAAGCCTCATGGAATAAGTCCCTAAAATAAAAATTTTCCCCCTCTACCTAGAAGAGTAAACCCAGTACTATAAAACACTTTACTATCATTTCAAAAATGTCCACCTATCTGTCAAGGAATGATGTTTTAAAGGATTACGTATAACAAATTTAAGCAATAAACTACCAGACCAATAAAACATGTTTCCAAACCAGAAATCCAAACCACTATGATCCCCAAACCAGACAACTTCTCTAGGAAAACATCTTACTTATTCACTCATTCAACCTCTACTTGCTACACTATATGCGAAAGGTACTATGGCAGACCTTAAGGAGACCTAAAAAATTCAATAAGAACCCTGTCCTAAGATCGTGACAGTCTAGCAATGGAACTTAGAAACGTACATACATACATAGGTACACACTAGGTAGAAAGATTTAGGTGCCATAAGAGAAATAAAGATGAATTTCTATTTTTTTTTTAAAAATCTTACTTTGAATAGTGTTTACCTATCTATTTCTCCTATGAGGCAGATCTAGAATATAGATACCCAGACCTCATCTCTTCAAGGGCAAGTAGCCATACATAGAAGACTAGTTCTTGTCACCTCTAGAAATCAAGTCTCCTCATTTTATAACTTTTGCATATGCTGTGTCCTACAGGGTATACCCTTTTGAGTTCACAGAAATCACAAATGTGTACCCCATTTCTTGTACCCATGAGTGCTGCTGATCTAAAAGAAAGGGAAATGCCATAAAGTGACACACTAAAAAAAAAAAAAAAAATTAAAAAAAAATTAAAAAGCCATTCTTTTCCCAAACCCTGCCACTGTTCTGCTATGGAAACTTAAGGAATGCATACTTAGTCTGATGTCAGGATTGAAGAAAGAATTGTTAACGAGATTCCAAAGAGTTTTCATGAATCTTTCAGACAAGTACTACATAAAAGGCATCACTAATGCTCTAGATTACTAAGGCTTTCCACATCATTTTACACGTAGCAACTTTGTTAATGTAGGGAGAGGTATTTGCATTCCTTGTTTAAATCTAAAGAAAGTACATTCCTTAAGTACTAAATGCCATTAATGTCATTTCAAATATTTTTCACAGAGCTAGTCCAGACCAGGCCAGGTCTAGTGGATTCATTTCAATGTATCATCATATCCACCATTTGCATTTAAACACTCAACTAAACATTCAGTAATTGGGAAGCACTGGAGAGGGAGTCTGCAGAAAAGAAGCAAAGTGACTTTCTGTTGATGAACCCAACTGTTCTCTCAGGATACTGACACAAGGAGTAAAAAATTCAGATCACGTCACCTTACATAAGTCAGTCCCCAGTCCTCTATCAGGTCCTCACCACCTCTAAAATAATATTTGTGATCAAATGAAGAAGAAAGACCTATCTCCATGTCTTACCCATTCGGGACAGTAAACATCTCTGGTTCATGGGTCTGGCTTCTTTTGAGGACAGCTTTTCTAAGCTATAATTAACATACCACAAAAACCGCCCTTATAAGGTGCACAATTCAGTCATTTTTCACATATTTACAGAATTGTGTAACCATCACACTATCCAATTTTAGGACATTTTTGTCACTTCCAAAAGAAACCCCATACCCAATGATTAAATTGAAGAGAATACCAGATCTTTTAAAAAGCATCCTACTATTCCAATAAAGTATCCAATTCAGTCTTCTTTATCTGACTACTGAAGAATGTAAGTATATACCCTTGTATCTAAGTCTTCGGCTTACTCAAAAGACAGCAAGACTTAAGAGAAGGTAAAAGGGCCAAAAAAGAAAAGCTTAAAGAGAATCAAGAATGCAACATTTCTAGTGAGAAAGTGCACAAAAACTGATGGGGGTATGTCAAAAAGACACAAAAGTCAACTTGACAAAGCTCCCAATGACAAAGCTAGAACAACTGAGGAACAAAATAAATGAAGACAATCTTTGGCTATGACCCACAGAATAAAATAAACACCTAAAAATTCATACTGACATAATTAATAAGTGAATAAATATGTAACTGAGGGAGAAGGGATAGTGCTTCCTTACAGCAGAATTCAAATTAATAAATGTGGGGGGAGTAAAGAAAATAGAAAATCACTCTTAAACCAGCACCACAGTAATAACGTTTGCAGGCAAGAACCATCAGTAGACACAGAAATTAGTGGCAAAAGTATGATGAGGAAGTGAACATGTGCACAGTCTCAAGGCATCACTCCCCAAGATACTTACCAATGACAAAGGGAAGATCAGGTTAACTTTACAGTGGAGAAACTTGGCAGATACAACCTTACCTGAGCGGTCAACGTTAACATACCAGTAACAGCACATATGAACATCATGTACTTCCTGACCTAATGCACTGAAAATCGTACAATTCTGTAGTATTCCTGAGCGGGGGAGGAAGGGGATTACACAATCAAGGGATAACAGCAGACAAACCCATACTGAGCAACATTTGATAAAACAACTGGCCAGTGCTATCTTCAAAGGTGTCAAAATCATGAAGGACAAAGACAGTCACAGGTTAAAAAGAAGAAGTGACAACTAAATTCAGTTTGTATCCTGGATTGGATCCTGGACCAAAAAAAAGGACGTGCACAGGTGGGAAAACTGGAAAAATCCAAACAAGGATTGTAGAACAACTAACAGCATTATAGCACCACTAATTTTCTGTGATTATTTTGTAAATTCTCTATAAATCTAAATTTATTTCTAAATAACAAGTTGGGGCTTTTTAATGCAACATTTCCAGGTGTGAGAGTCAACTGTTCTAAGCCCACTGTGAAAAATGACTCATGCCAGCTAGCTATTATAATTTTCCTATTAGGAGAGATTATCAAATGATGTCATATTCAGAATCCCAAAACCCAACTCTTACAGTACCTTCTGGATTGCAGCAGACATAACAAGAAAACAAGTCAATGCATGAAAAACCACATGGCACACTGTTAACAAAGAGACATGCCCCAGAACAAAGAAACAAACAAAAAAAAAAACAGACAGGAACGTTCTGATCATAAAGTAATGGTCCGCAACACAAATAAAACAACTTGAAACATAAAATGTCAAGAACTGGACAAAACCAACTGCATCAACATGCGGTAAGACCATGACTTGATGAATTTCTCTGGTGTTCAATTTTTATGAATCTGGTGGTAAAAGTTTATTATTAGGTAAAGGCTGGATTGGTTCTGATACATTAGTTGAATCAGTTCTGGTACATACCCAGATTTCAAGTCAGTTATCCTCAAACAGTTTGTAGCATCCAGTCCCACTTTTCCATTGCGGACCACACTAGATATGAATGGAGAGAGCATTGGAGAAATTCGGTTCAAGGCCACTTCTGGGGACATTTTAACTTGATTTGCAAATCACCACTGAAAGCAGAAGGAAAGAACAGCGGTCAGGGTATCCAAAGGAACTAGATATAACAAGTTTCCCAAAAACTGGCACAGTACACACAGTATTCAGTCTCTTGAATGAATACTTCATTTCCTGTCATACAGCAGCCTCTTTTAATGACCCTCCAGAAGAAACCAACCCCCTGTTGCTCCCCTCCCCAGCGCAGAGACTACATCAATGCTTTTCAGGAACAGAAGCAACCCTTCAAATCCAATTCCCTCCTCCTTTCCAAAGCTGATTTCTACACTGCCACATACTACTTAAAGCTATCTTACAATCAGCCGCTTCCCACTTCAGTTGAGGCCTTAAGAAGCCTTCACTGACAATCCTCTCCCCTGACACACAAAAGGTACACACCATTAAGTTAGGAATTGCTCCCTCTGTGTCCCCATGAGAAGAAGGGATTGATAAAACTGTATAAAATTGGTGACTAAGCATAACCTACTTACTTACTAGAAATTATTTACTTCTGATCCACTGTCCTCCACAGTGTTCTAACCACCTGCTTTGTGATCTCCCCCCTGCAGGGACCATGTCTTGAATCCCCAGTGTTTAACAAAAGTACCTGGCATGCGCTAAGCACCAATAGAAATCTTTTAATAAGTAAATGAGTGAAGAGATAAAAACTAGAGAAATATTAAGGCATGGAAAGAAGATAATATGCCCTCAAAAAAATTGGTAGAGGATAATGTATCTGAGGAACATATGCAGCAAAAAGCTACTTAACAATTAAATCACGAAAATATACACTTATCCAGATATTAAGCAACACAAACTCACATAGATCTAAAAGACTTTGACTTTCAGGCACTAAGAAGTACTTACACCTGAAAATGCAAAAGTAAAACCAATAAATCATATCTAAATTATTTGGAAACCCAGGGGGCAAGGGAAAGGGAATGCATGAATTCCTCTAAATAGATTTCTAAATGAGAACCTCTACTTTCAGAGGTGAATAAGTCCATTTAAATAATCACTTTCTTCCTCTATCTGAAAGGATGATCCCACATCAAAGGCAAATTAATTTCCTGCAAGTTACAACTACAAGGAAATGATGTTCTGGTTCTAGTTTTCATCTGCTTTACCATATGAGGACTTACAGGTCTCTGACAAAATAAATGTTGAAAACCAGTACCTGTCTTAATCACTTCAGATGGTAATAAAGGGAAGGACTGCAGTGATCTTTCAAAAAATAGTAACATGGTGACCTTAATTTAGCGATGACACCCAGAAGTACCTTTGAGACAGTAAAGGCTTTATACTTCTGTACTCAAATCATCCTTTCTGCAAATATAAAACAAGCTCCGCTACCAGCCACTTATGGGTGGGAGATGACCTCCCTCCACCATTTCAATGTCCCCACGAAGTAGGAATAAACATCTAACGCACTCTATTTTCAACCATAAAAATCATGTTGTACATTTTTATAACACTACTACTTGTAAGGAGCTTCCAAATACATTATTACAGTTGATCTTCACAATCCTGGGCAGGAAGGCAGGTATTAGAATCCCCACTCTGCAGGTGACAGGAATAATTTCTGTGATTTGTCCTTGAACAGTCTACTAACCCGTATTATCATCTTGACACTTAATTTTTTTCCTATTTTGCAACATTTCCACTGTTACTTCTACCCACTGATGTCACAGTTCTTGAAAGGATGCTTATCTAGATCATATGCAAAGCAAAGAAATACTCATCTGGAAAAAAAGCAAAAGGATCTCACCTACATTACAAAATTATTCTTCCATGCTTTTCCCCATAATACCTATCATTATTTTACCTCTCATTTCTATGAAAAATGGAAACAATCAGCACATGCTGAAAACTCTGCTGAGCATCAGGCACTATATTACCCACCACTATGTAATCTCATTTACCGCCCCACAACAACCCTGTTTCCTGATTATTATTCGAAAACTAAGGCTCAGCAAGACTAAGTAACTTGTCCAAAGTTACAAACCTAGCAAGCATAAAGATCAGAATTCAAATCCAGATCTCCCTCAAAGTCACTATACCCAATCTCCCCTCAAATAACAATGTACAATTGCAATCACCAAGAGAAAAGCATCAGAGCTATTTAAGTATACACCTTAAAAAATCTGAACAGACAAAAAAGTCACGAATTTGAACTAATGGTTGCTTGACAACTAGAAACAGGTTTGACTACAGGCTGGTCAGCTGTGGAAGATGGCCTGAGTCATCTACTAGTCAAATCCTACAGGGAACAAACCTACACCAGAAGCCAAACTATACTTAAGGTGACAACAATGCATCCCAATTCAGCAACTGTCATGACCTCAGACTAATACCTGAAGGAATGAATTTGTTTCAGAACAGTTACAATGCCACTTTTTTTTTTTGACAGTGCAAGATTTCCTGCAGCATTAAAATCTGTTTCAACCGTAGGTGTAGTGACTTCTCTAAGAAGGGAAATAAACACTCCAAAACCAGACGTCACCAAAGAGCCAAAGATGATGGTTCTTTGGTGTGATCCTTTTGAGCCAGGAGCATGGATGGGGAATAATCCCCAATATGAGCTTTTTCACATCATAGTCTCATAATAGATCCCAGGTAGGCAAAAAATTTACAGTGGCCAGCCTCCTCTGAACGCTAGTTGTGCAATGTGTATTTCCTGATGTTGACGTATTACAGGAGGAAAATGCAGCAATACAATTTTTACAGGGCCTGCTGCCCAAAATAGGGTCACACAAGGTCCTCCGATGGGCAGGCTGTAGACTACAAAGACGTCTAAAGCACCGTCCAGTATCTCGCAATTAAGATGGGATGACAAACACGGAAACATGTGCCCTGCTGACGTCATGGAACGGAAAGGGGTGGCGTCCTGCTGCGTCACCTCAACGTCATACAGCGCACGAGGGAAGTTAAGTGGGGAAGCAATTTGTCCAGGGGCAACATTCAAGAAAAACAAGTCGGCTCAGACCCAAAGAATGACCACCCCATTCTAGGGGCCATCTAAAAAGGGATACTCTCCCTCTCCCAAACTGTATGATCCCCTCACCAGGCCGGCAGGAGGAAGGAGTCTGAGTTTAATGAGGGACCAAGGGGCGGGCTAAATATGCAAAAAGAGCAGCCTCTGGCCTTGGGGGCGCGTTCTTGCGGGGACCAGCGTGATAGGGATGAGCAGGGCATCTTTTAGAACGGGGGGCCTTCTCTACAGGAAGAGGCCGCGAGCCCCGGGCATGCTTAAACCACGGTCCTCAGCGCCACCTGTGCGACTCGGGATCCAACCTCCCCGCACCAGCCCCAGTCCAGGTACCTGGAACTTAGTCCGATCGGTAACCGGCGACTACGTGGGGTACAGGTTACCCGAGCGCGCCCCCGACTGACGCACCGACCTGCGCGCGCACCGCGGGCCGGATGCGTGCGCGCCCCCGGACGTCCCGCCCCGCCCCCTCTGCCGCCCGCGAGCCGGGAGGCGTGCGCGCCCCCGGACGCACCGAGCCGGGCACTCGGAAAGGCGTCCCCGCGGTGCCTGAAAGGTCTTTACTCCGCGCGGGCCTCGTGGGTGGCGAGTGGCGTGGAGTCTGGAACTATCAGAAGCGCCCTGTTACGAGAGGCGGTGCAGGGAGACCATCCCGGAAAGAACGGAGGGCAGATGGGGGGCTGGGGTTATTTCGGGCAGTCAGGTGGGCGACCCGCAGGGGCGTCTGGAAGGCCCGCGTCGTTAGGGAGCGTAGGAGCGGCGTTTCTGGTTACGGGGTCGGACAAAGGGCAAAGGTCAGCCTCCTGGTTGGAGAGCACCTCCTTTTTGCCATGGCGGCGTCTGGGGAACCCGGCCGGCAGTGGCAGGAGGAGGTGGCGGCGGTGGTAGTGGTGGGTTCCTGCATGACCGACCTGGTCAGGTTAGTCCGGCTCAGGACACCGAGTCTGAGGTCGCGGGAGGGGGCGGACCGTGCGTGGCACAGGGGCTTTGGCGATCGTGTTCGCTTTTGGAGTGAGCTACAGGTTTCCCCAGCCCGCAGCCTGCCTTCCTGACGCTGAAGAGGCAGAATTTGAGTTTGTAAAGGTAACTCTTAGGTCGGGGAACATAGAGGCCAGGACGTAATGAAATCTCTTACTGTTACTTTAGAGCTGCTCCTGTTTTCTTGACCAGGCTGCTGAACCTGTCCCCTGCCTAGTCTAAGTAATGGTTAAGTCATTTTATCTCTCAGATCGTGCCTATCTCGCAGGGTTTTTGTAAGGACTAGGTGAAGGAAAGTCTTTTCTGTACAGTGACATTAACCAGGTTGGATATTATTCGCCTGAACTTGAATGAGTGGAGCAGAGAGGTCAAAAGTCCATCAGTCACCTTTCACCGTATTGATCGTTGGCATTCCTGCAGTTCATATTGACACCTTGCCTTTTAGTATTATTTGTGTCAGTATATAGGTTACCTTACGATAGCCCAAATGGGAACCAAAAACCTACAAACACAGTGTTTACAACCATTTAAAAAAACAATGATCAGATCATGAAAATATGCTGAATGAAAATAGGATGGAGAGAGCCTTCTAATTTTTCATTATTTGAAATGAAAATGGCGGAGTACCTGGTTGGTTTATTGCTTAGAGCACGCTACTCTTGATCTTGGGGTTGTGGGTTCAAGTTCACCTTGGGCGTAGAGCCTACTCAAAGAAAGGAAGGAAGGAAGGAAGAAAGAAAAAAAATCCAACCTCTGATTATTAAAAACACTACATGTTCATTGTTTTTAAAAAAGCAGATAGCCCAAGAATATCCTCCAATTCAGATTGCTCCCATTTAACATTTTTGTGAATAGCTTTTCAGGTATGATATTTTTTACATTATAAAGATCAAAAATGGTCACGCATACAACAGTAAGACCTCATCTGTCCTGCAACCTTCCTTTTCCAGACAATAGCAGAGAGCCTGAAAATTAACAGAAAGGCCTTGAGACAATCAAAAGAAGTCACCAAATCTCTGCACAACCTGTGTTTTGCTTAGAAAATAGTTCTAGGGTCTTTACATAACCAATTTAGTCTTACACTGCTTAAAATGTTTATAAACTAGGTCATCAAATTTCCAGACCAAGAGTAGAAAGGGGGAGAGACTGCTAGGGGCAGATGTAGTGATTGCCAAAAACCATACTTTTATTTTATGTTGTTGTTTGTTTATTTTGAGAGAGAGAGAGTACAGGAAGGGCAGAGAGGGGGAGAGAATCCCAAGCAGGCTCTGCACCATCAGTGCAGAGCCTGATGTGGGGCTTGAGCTCCCGAATGGTGAGATCATGACCAGCCAAAACCAAGAGTCAGATGCTTAACTGAATCAGCCACCCGGGGGCCCCCCAAAACCAATACTTTTATAGGTGCAGTAGCAGAAGAGTAAGAAAGCTAAACAATTTTCCCATGCACTCGACCTGAATAAATGTCAGGGTTAAAATTCAGAGCCACTTTCTTCTTGAACTAAGAGTTTTCTGTGAAGCTTGACCATCAGATATTAAAGATAATTATACTTTATAAAATGAGGGCTCTTCATACTTTGGAGAGGGGGGAGTGTCAAAGGCACCTGTCATCTCATGTTAGCCTCCGTCAGGATTTTAAAATCTTTTTTAAGTGCTAGAAGAATTTAGAGATTATTTATCCCCGCGCTTCAGTTCATAAAAGAGTAAAGTGAGGTCCAGAGAAGAAACTGTTATGTGGTGTATAACTTTTCTAATTTCTCTCATCATTTTCTTTCCTTTATAAAATAACCAGGTTTCTACCCTTCCCATGAATCACTAGTAAAAATTTTATTCCCTTAGAGACTATTCTCATGACTTTTCTGCAAACTTTTTATGGTTTCTGATTACTCCTGCCTCTGAAGATCTTTACAAAATACCTGAGTATAGAATTTTCATTTAAACCCTGCATCTGTGATAACTTGGCTCCAACTTTGCTAGTTATGGTACTTATCATGATTGTGTTAGTTCCTATGGCTGCTGTAACAAATTAACAAACTTAGTGGTTTAAATAATACAAATGTAATACAGTTCTCCAAGTCAGAAGTCTGACACAGATCTCACTGAGCTAAAATCCAGGTGTCTGTAGGGCTGCGTTCCTGGAGGCCCTAAGGGAAATCTGTTTTCTTGCGTTTTCCAGCTTCTAGAGGCTGCCCACATTCCTTGGCTCATGGCCCCTTCCAACATCTTCAAAGCAAGCAATGGTCAGTCAAGTCTTTCTCACATGGCATCACTCTGAGGCTTACTTTCTGCCTTCCTCTTCTACATTGTAAGAACCCTTGTGATTATAGTGAGCCCAGATGGATAATTCTGGATAATGTCCTTATTTTAAGTTAGCTTATCAGGAACCTTAATTTCCCTTGCCACATAACATTCACAAGTTTCAGGGTTTAGGATGTGAATGCCTTTGGGGTAAGGTGGGAGGGGAACCGGGGGGGGGGGGGGCCACATTATTCTGTCTACCACATTGATTAAGCTTAAAGTCAAAAAATCTTATAATAGAGCTTGGGGAATCATTGAAGCCCGTCAGTCCATCCTCCACATTTAACAGGTGAGGTAACTAAGCTTCGAGGACTCACCGCAACTCACATAGCCAGTTAGTGGCACAGTGAAAGCTGGAACCCATGTTTCCCAAGCTTTATCCTTCCATTGTATCATTCTGCCTGTAATTCTGGCTGATATTGATAGCCCTTTCCATCTGCAGTTCACTCGAAGGCTTGTAGTCTCTGCATTCATTGTTTACTTTGTAAGCGGGTGAAGAACAACCAAGGATTTTTAATTTTCGGGCCTAAAGATAGTACCTTCATGACAGTTCCTTACTTGATGTCTTAGTTTAACTGGAGCCAACCCAGACACCTGTGCGTATACCGTAGAATCACTTCGGAAATAAGACTCCTTCAGTAACTAATCCCTCTTGGACGGCATCCAAGTCCAACTCACTTTGTATATTACATTACTGTGTGCCAGACACTGCTAATTCAATCAATGAGCCACTTTTTTTTTCATGTCTAATTTCAGTTTGCTATGAATAGTAAGCTCTGTGTACTAATAATTTTAAAATATCATTAGCTCATCCAACATGGTAAACAATGAACATTATTTAATACCCACCTATGTGTATCATTATTCTCTTCTTGAACAGTCATCTCTGAAGTTCCACAATGCAAAGTTAAGAGATATCAAGCTTGTCCTTGTGGAAAATTAAGTCAGAGTTTCTCCAAAGACAGATTTCCATGAAAACCCAGTAACAAATGAATGATTTTAGTCATTAAGCTTAGAGATCTTCGTTAATCATGCTTTCTCACTAATAACCTTTATTTCTTATTACATGAATCACCCATTTTTTAAATTGTGCATTCAACAAATACTTCCTGACTTTATACTAAGCCAGGTATTTCCCTAAGTGCAGAGGATGCAGGGATGAAAAACACAGCCAAAAACCCCTGCCTTGTGGAGCTTACATTCTTTTTTTTAAGTAGGCCCCACAGTCCATCAGTCCATCAGCCAATGTGGGGCTTGAACTCACAACCCCGAAATTAAGAGTTACATGTTCTACTGACTAACCCAGCCGTGTGCCCCTCATGGAGCTTACATTCCAATGAAAAAGACAGTATCAATAGAAATAAGTAAAATGCATAGTATGTTAGGTAAATGCTAAGGAGGAAAATAAAGCATGAAAGGGAGATGGAAGTAGTAATTATTCTAGACCATTGCCCACAGAAAGCCTCACTGAGGAGGTGATTTTGAGTCAAAACCTAGAGGAAAGGAAGCAAGCCATACAGATACTCAGGGGAAGAGCATATGCAAAGGTCCTGAGGTGGGAGCATGCCTCTTATGATCAGTGACCAACAACGAGTCCAGTGTGGCTGAAGAAGGAAAAACAGGAGGGGAGAGGGCAATTAATGATTAAAGGATGTTGGGTCATACCCTGAATAAGATGAAAAGCCACTGGAGGATGAGCAGAGAGATGACCTAATATGATTTGCATTTTAATATCATCACTATGGAGACTGTGTGAGAATAAACCAAAGGAAGGCAAGGGCAGAAAAGAGGAGACCAGTTCAGAGTCAGAAGAATCCTGGTGAGAAATGATGGTAGCTTGAAAGCAGTGCCAATGGGAAGAAATGAGCATCTTTTGATTATATTTTGAAGGCAGAGCTGACAGGATTTGCTGAGGACTAGAGATAGGTCAAGGATTATTCCCAGGTTCTGTGGCCTTTGCAAGTAGAAAGGGAAGCTGACCTTTGCCGAGATACAGAAGATTGTGAGCAGAGCCAACTGGGTACGGAGAGGGCAGTATCTGGAGCTCAGGGTGGACGTGTGAGATTCGAGGTGCCTGTTAGACATCCAACTGAGACTGTCAAGACAGATACAGGAGTTTGGAGTTCAGAGGATAGGTCCAGCTGGAAATATAAATTTGAGAGTCATCAGTGTATTGATGATATTTGAGGCCATGAGGCAGGATGAGATCACTGAGGGTCTGAGCTCCGAGGGCACTCAAACATGTAGAGCATACATTTTTTTACATAATTTATCTCCTGTCTCCCAGTCTCCCCGTACCCCTAAAACTTGCTTTGAGACAAGTTGAATACAAACCCATGTTTACATTTCCATGGCAATAGACTATGATGTCAACTAAAACCCTATGTTATCCTTTTACATGCTCCAATTAAAGGCGATGGCTTGAGAGATAAGGCTCATGTTCAACCAAGCATCTAAATTTAATCCTTGGCAAGTCAGGAAATGATTGCTTAATTCTCAAAAGATTTTAATTGGATGGCAGAATAAGTGAATTTAGAAGCTTTTTGATCCAAAGTGGATGAAACGTTGGACATGTATTACTTAGGGGAAAAAAAAAAAAGCCAAAAATGTATGCCATACCTAGAAAAGGTTACACGTGTTTAACGTATTACAGTAACCTCTAACCTGCATTCCCCCCAGAAGCCTCTTGACTGTCATGTTTAGAACAGAAAACTCTCTTGTGCATCACATTTTCAGTAAAGTAAAAGCCTGAGGAATACCCTGCATGTCCAATGTTAAAGCAATAGAATATCCTTTATTATTCCTTCTGCTCCTTAAATTGGTCTTGAAAGTTGCTTATTAGTTACCAACTTTAAAGTTAGTATTTTGGTAAATGTTTCTGTCAACCAAATTCCCTAACATCAAAATAAATCTTTCATCGGAAATTTGCTAATTCTGGTCCCTTCGAGGAAAACATGTATTAAAAAGTAAATTACATATGACAAAGCAAGCCCACCTCCCATGTGGTATTACCAAGAAGTCCCTTTAGTCATCCGTTCCTTTGTCAGCTCTTCATGCCCTAGTGTCTGTATTCTAGGGAAAGGAAGGTCGGGCAGGCTTCATGACGAATGTTGCTCCGGAAGTTTGGTCACTTGTGTACAGCATTCAAAGACTGAGACTGTGCTAAGTGCTAAGGATACTGCAATTAGTAAAACATGGTCATTGCTCCTGAAGGCAGACACAAAGATCGATCACTGTAGTGTGATGTGGTTAAGTGCCCGCAGCTTCTACAGGAGCAGAGGGAAAAGCGCCTGGATGGGATGCCTCCTGAGCCAAGTTTTAGAAAATACGCAGGAGCGCCTGGGTGGCTCAGTCAGTTAAGCGTCCAGCTTTTGATTGCAGCTCAGATCATAATCTCACGATTTGTGAGACGGAACCGTCATCGGGCTCTGCGCTGACAGCCCAGAGCCTGGTTGGGAGTCACTCTCTCCTCTGCCCTTCCCCCACTCGCGCACAGACACATGTGTTTTCTCTCTGAAAATAAACTTTAAAAAAAAGAAAAGAAGCAGGTTCTAACCCAGCAAAAAAGAGGAAAGGATTAAGTACATTCTGGCCAGCTGGGATAACACACAGAAGTCAAGTCACAGATGTGGGTATATGTGGGTGTGCTGAGGACAGCGGCTACTGGGCTATGAAGAGTCACATGTAAGATGTTGATGTAGGGGCGCCTGGGTGGCTCAGTTGACTAAGTGTCTGACTTGGGCTCAGGCCATCTCATGGTTCATGAGTTCAAGCCCCACATTGGGCTGTCTGATGTCAGCACAGAGCCTGCTTGGGATTCTCCCCTTCTCTCTCTGCCCCTTCCCCACTGTCTCTCTCTCGCACGCAGAATAAATAAACTTAAAAAAAAAAAAACAAAGATGAAAGGACTCATCAGCCATGCTAAAGTGCTAGGGTTTTTATCTGTAGGCCCTGGGAACTAGCAAAGGGCCCAAAGGACAGGAACAACATGGTCAGATTTGTCTTCCTATAGCTCACTTGCTGCCAAAGGGAGGATAATGCCTATTCTAACCTAGCTCACAAATGTATTGTGAAGTTCGAGCATAATCCATTCTTTTTTTTTAATTTTTTTTCAACGTTTTTTATTTATTTTGGGGACAGAGAGAGACAGAGCATGAACGGAGGAGGGGCAGAGAGAGAGGGAGACACAGAATCGGAAACAGGCTCCAGGCTCCGAGCCATCAGCCCAGAGCCTGACGCGGGGCTCGAACTCCCGGACCGCGAGATCGTGACCTGGCTGAAGTCGGACGCTTAACCGACTGCGCCACCCAGGCGCCCCAAGCATAATCCATTCTTGATTATTCACGATGATGGGAATGTGGGAGAAGCATGAGCACCAAAACCCAAAAATAGTAGATAAGTTAAAATTTTTAATAATTGATTCCAGAATACATTTTTTTTTGTGCGCTGATTTATCTTTCTAATTATATTTCGCTTAGGATAAAATTAATTCCATTTGTATTCCTTTAACCTACACCAGCAGATGGCAGGAAGAAGTAGCCTGGATAATTACAATGTGGTGACAGAAGTCATTTTGAAATTTAAAGTTTACTATAACTAATTGGCAAAATAGAAAACAAAATACCGGTTGTGTAGTTATTTATCACTATTCATACTTTGCTTGTCTTCTTCAGTGAAGTAAAATGTTTTCCATCAGGAACTCTGATAAACGCTTTAGCTTCGCCAGTTCCTTTTCTGCTGTGTTGTTCCGCATCCTGCTTTTCCTACATACCTTACACCGTCCTATAGTTGTCCCGTCCCCACTAATCCCCCATCCACACACATAGTTCTCCTGCCCTCTCCTCTCACAGGTTCTAGCTCCAGGATTAGGTCTTTCTGTACCTCTCTAGCCAAGCTTCTATTCTCTCTCCAGAACTTTGCTCACCCGGGAGTAAGGAGGTCTGTGTGTAATTGTCCAAAAAGACTAGTTGACATCAGATGGCATTTTAATTTTTAAATAATGTTTTTATGGGGCGCCTGGGTGATGCAGTCGGTTAAGCGTCCGACTTCAGCCAGGTCACGATCTCGCGGTCCGTGAGTTTGAGCCCCGGGTCAGGCTCTGGGCTGATGGCTCGGAGCCTGGAGCCTGTTTCCGATTCTGTGTCTCCCTCTCTCTCTGCCCCTCCCCCGTTCATGCTCTGTCTTTCTCTGTCCCAAAAATAAACGTTGAAAAAAAATTTTTTTTAAATAAATAAATAATGTTTTTACTGTTTCACTTGTTAGCCTCTCCCAGTGCCGTCTGTACTCAGTCTTCAATCCAGTATTGGAGGGATGGAAGAGGATGTGGCCCCTTATTGTTTCCTTTATTCTGACCAGATTCCTGTTTAATAACTAGTTTACTTTTCTCCTTGGGCTACACTCATACACAGCACTTTTGCTCTGCTCTCACCTCATTGTAAGATTTATATACAGAGGCATCTGTCATCCCAGCTATTTCTAGAAGTGTCTTTTAAGGTATAGATCATTCATTCAAAAATATTTACTTGTGACCATGATGGAGTAACTAGTACCAGACTTAACCTTCCCACCATAAATAACTAGAAAATGGGGTATATAAGGGACAAGATCTATGAAGCAGCTGGATATTGGACAGCAGGCATGTTATCCAGAAGAGAAAGGAAACAAACAGGTGAGTCCTGGAGGCACATTACTGACCATGGCACAGAGAGAAGAAACCTGGGGAAAGCATGGCAAATATCAGTGAGGTGAGAAAATGGATTTCATAGTTTAGGGAGACTAAGGTAGCTAGAATTTGAGGGAACATGCACTAGAGAGGAAGGAGCTAATCAGGGAAAGGTCCAGAAATCTGCATAGGAGTCCCCTTGAGTCTAAATACTAAATGGACATACATAGAAACCACAAAGCCAGGCCACTACTGGAGAGCTCTAAGCTGAACATTTCCCAGGTATCACATTCTATTCAGCCAGAAACATTATTGAACCCCTGGAGCATTCAGTAGAGATCCCAGAAGGACCACAACTTAAGGGGTAAACGTGCCCTAAAGTAAAGGCTACTCTAAACTCTTCCTAATAAATCACAAAAACAATCCTTAAAGGATCAAACAGATCCACAAATTATTTAGATGCCCAAAAAAAAAGTTCAACCCTTTGGAAAAATACAACAGAATTAAGACACTCAACAGTGTAACCTTTGAAATATTCAGCCTCCAATCAAAAATCAATAGTCATGCAAAGAATCAAGAAAATGTAATCCATAACCAAGGGGGGAAAAATCAATCAAAATTGACCTGCAGAAATGGCAGGGATGGTGGAATTAGCAGAAAGGGATTTTAAAAGAACCATTATAAAATGCTCAGTGATTTAAAGAAAAACACGAATACAGTGAGGAGAAAAGTGGAAGATATATAAAAGAACCAAATAGAAGTTTAAGAAATGAAAAATTCTTTTGATGGGCTTATCAGCAGAGTAGACCTTACAAAAGGATCAGTATACTTGAAGATAGTAAGAGATAGCATCTCAACTGAAGCATAGAGAAGAAAATGACCAAAATGCACAGAGCCTTTGTGATTTGAGACAAGGAATCTGTCATTTGTGTAATTGGAGTCTAAGAGTAAGAGTGGGTGAGGCACAAAACAATATTTGAAGACATAATGGCTGAATTTTTTTCAAATTTCATGAAAATTATAAATATATAGATCTAAGAATTTCAATGAACCCCAAGCAGGATAAGCATACTGTAAACAACAAAGCACATTGTAATCATATTCCTGCAGACCAATTAGAAACTCTTAAAAGTCTCCGAAACAGACATTACATATGTAAGGGGACAAAGATTGAATGCAGACTTCTTGTCAGAAACAATGCAAGCCACAAAAAAAAACAAAAAAACAAAAAAAAAACTCTAAAGTGCTTCAAAAATAATCTACATAGAATTCTGTATCTTTCCAATATGAAGGGGAAATAAAGACAGAAAAACAATAGCTGAGAGAACTTATCACCAGAAACTCACACTGCAATAAGTATTGAAGTTCTTTAGGTGGAACCAGAATGATACTAGATGGAAACTCAGATCTACCCAAAGGAATGAAGAGCCCAGAAATGGCAAATACAAAGACTTACTTCTATTTCTTAATTTCTTTAAA